GTAAAATCCCCTGTTTAGTCACAATTTTTGAGCTCTCTGTTGGCTGGAGGAGTGCGCGTGGGTGTGCACGTGGGGAGGAAGAGGCGTGTATACGCAAGAAGGCATTCTCCATGACAAAAAAATACTTCCATGGCTTTTACTGCTCTGATGGTGCTTCTTTTATCTTCAGTTGGAAAAAAAAACAAACCCCAAACAAACCATTTCAAGATACTGTTTGGAAATTACTTGTACAAATTTGTTGCACTTCTGTGAGGTTTTTCATTCATCCCAATAGCAAGGGAAATGAAAACTCGGAATAGGCTTTAATCTGCTATTTACATACGATACTTAAATTCCTTTTAGAAACCAAAGCTTATCACAGAAATGATAGTTTCCCATGTGTATGAATTACCGAGAATTATAATATCAACAGAAAGGAATGAAGCCAGGTTGCACATAAAAACCTACACTTCCTAGGTGATTCTCAACTCTTTTTTTCTAAACATTTTCCACCAGATAAAGTTCATTACCTTGTTCTAACCATTTCCCATTTCGCAAAGTGAAGTTTTTTACTGACTCTGTAAATAAGAAATCAGTATATGCAATAGCGTTAAGAGAACCCGAGAGAAGAGGGCCTTTGGGCACGGCTGGTGGCTAATGCTGATTCTGCTGCGTAGTTCTCGTGAAGGCCTTACCAAACGCCGCTAGTTTCTCGTCTGGGTACAAATGTATTGATGTGCCCGAACGAAATTGCATTCCAATGTTTAGAGTAAAAGCCCGTTCACCACGTTTCAAATTGTTCGTATTTATTTGGAGGCCTCAGAAGGACATCTCAATCTTGCAGTGTTATTATTTCAAATGAAAAAAGAGATTTTTTGAATGTTATTTGGAGCAAGCCCCTTAGCTTACAGACGGAAAATAAAGCAGAACTGCTGCAACAGATATTTTGACAAGAGCTTTGAATGAAAAATAACAAAACCTCTACAGGGAATTTCCCATTAATCTAATTTATTTGGGAGCACATTTTCACAATAATAATTAAATTATCTAATGTTCGCTTACATTTAAAAGCGATCATCTGTAACAGTTCATTACTAGAAAAAAAAAGGTGGGTGGGGGGGGAAAGGCCAATATTTTAAATTGACACCCCAGGAAACCCCCCCCCCCATCAACTTACAAAGATCAGAGGAACGCCGTGGTGTTTGAGCGCTTCCTATGAATCCGCTGTTTCATCTCTTAGTGAAGTTGGCAACGGAAATTCCAGCATTTTTTGTGCAGTGGTGTCCTTAAAGCTGCAACACGTTTATTTGTTAGGCCCCTATTCACCCGGTTTTCAGGGCGTTTCAATAACCAAAGCATCCAATAAATAAAGTCTGGCGACACAGGGAACCGTGTTTAGTACAGACACCGCAAACGCCTACATTTGCCGTGGAACCTTCTATTCAGGTGGATCATCCAGGCCCTGCAAGGCTTCCATGGGTGGAGAAACCACGTGTAACCAACTGAGATACCATTGAGCAAGATGCGGTTTTATCTGCTTTATTTCTCCTAGAAATGTCAGCACAGCACATTATATTGCCTGTCATTTTAATAGATAAACGAGACAATGATTCCATTGGGTTTTGTTTTGGTTTTTTTTTTCTCAAAATGGTAGAATACACTTTCTGAAAAAGGTCTGCAAACATATTTACAAAAGTGTGAAAGCAATAAATGCAGGCTCTTTATATTTTTACTGAACTTCCAAAGACTGACTGATAGCCTAATTTTATTGGAAACCTGGTCCAAGGATGATACAAGAAATCAAATATCACACTCAGTTTTGCTTTCTTCTAGGCTAATGTGGAAAACAAACCAAACAGATAAATATTTCAAAAAAGGACAAACTTCTATTCCATGATGCACAATGACGGTATTCCCAAACCATTTCCTGTATTTTTATTTTGTTTCAGCTTTAAAACAGCTCTTGGTCTTTCTTAATGTTGTGTTAAAATGTGGGACACCATCTTATTTTTGGAAAGCCAGCTGCTGTAATTTAATTAGAAAATAACCACTAAAATATCATTCACCCAGCTGCTGTGATTTAATTAGCAAATAGCCACTAAAATATCATTCGCAGTATCTGCAGCGCAGGAATGGACTTTTTTTTTTTTTTTTTCCCCAAACAGGAGTGATAAAATTTGTGGTGTTGTCTTCATCTTTCACATTTTAAATACTGTTGGCTGACAGAAAAAAAGTGTAGTGTCATGCTTGGTTTACCTAAATCATTTATTTTGTAACTAATAAAAGTAAACAATTACCAGATACTGTATATAGAGAGATATATAGATATATGGCCACAAATAAACTATAGTAGAAAGTTATTTTGGTTTTGATAAAGTTAAGAAAAGCACATAAAATCATATTTCATGAATATCTTGGTTTATGGCCATCAATATTTTTGTATTTTTCTGTTTTGTTTCATCAACATAGCAAAATACAATCTTCCTATTAAACAATAATTATCAGATGGCAGACAATTCTTTTTATTGGTTTACATTGGCAGGTCACAGTCTAAAAAGCACAACCACATCAGGCAGAAATTGCACACAGACCGCCCTGGATTTTGAAGACTATTTTTTATGCTTCTACCAAAAGAGCTTAATTTAAAACTGGGGACTGTAACATGCGCTAGTTAAAGATATAGATTCTTTGTTGGGTTTGGTTTTTTTTTTGAATAGCTAAATAAAACGACTGAAATTGCAGTACTTTATTTCGCTTTCAGCTTCAGTTTTCACGTTTGTGCTTGATGGTACCAAACACGCTGTGAACTTCCTAGCAATCGTTTATGAAAGTTCAATCACCCAAATAAAACCCAGATGATTTTTTTCCTGTCACGGAATACTGCAGATTTATTTCCATGAGGCCTGTTGCTTGGCTTTATTTTTTGGTGTCGCTATTTGCATTTGTAACTTATTCCTGAAAACTCGGGGAGATTTGTGTGTAATACTATGACATCACACGGTCACGACGTCAGCATTTCTGTAAGGAATGGTTGTAGGGGGGACTGGCCCATAAATATGCAGTTGTATTCGTTGTAGAAGGCATGTCCATGTCTTCAAAAACCAGACTGGTCTTAAGATATTACTCTTTATTTGAGACAGTTACCATTACTTCATTAAAAAATGACAAAACAGCAATAAACATTTTAGCTCTTTAATGAGCAAAGATCAGGTCTCTTAGCATTGGAATAATATTCGTTATCCAGATTATCTTTATTTCACTCGGTGACCAGTCATATGGCCAAGAAGTACAAAGTAATTTTCCATCAAGTAGTATACAATTTTTGTGTGTAATAAGCTTCCATTCTTGAAAAAGAGTAACTGAAAAGAAATGTTTCTGTTACTGCAGTTAGTTTGTCAGAGAAAGTTCTTCGCATTATCTTACAAACTATCAAAATTGCTAGTAATTTGAAAAAATGTAAAAAAAAATCACATAACTTTAGTCTAATAGAAATATAGTACAGGTAAGAGAGAAAGTATTTATCAGGGATGTGCTCTTTAAGTCCATCTCAATTATTTCTTTTATATAAATGTACATCTGATTACATATACAAACATTTTGAAAGGACCGTGGTGTATAATTACTGGAAAGCAACAGGGGAATGAAAAATTTCTGGTGATTTTAGAACATTCATTTCAAATCACACAAACATATCTAGTATTCAGATTTCTTAAATTTCCAGTTGTTGGCTCTCTCCCCATTCTTATGCACCCTCTTTTTCTACACTGTTTCCACCTGGTCTAGAGAATTCCATTGAATGGCAAAGCTAACGTAGAGCAAAAAGGGAATTAACTTTATAATAAAGTCTTATAAGTAAACTTTGTAACATGCAACATGAGTTTAAACAATAAACCGAAAGGTGTAATCAGAGCGGTAAGACTGGGGCGTTTTTATACTGCAAAATAGCACTGCGATTAATTTTTGGACACACTTTACCTTACCAATTTGAACTAAATATATTGTAACTAAATCACAGCAAATTATAAAGCCTTCATCAAAGGAGATTCGGTTAAAGTTATAGCTATGTTAAAGTTAGAAATTATTTAGGTGGAAAGGAAAAAGAACATTAACTATACAGATTTATTTTGTCTGGGAGTCGTATCAGCGAGGGTTCACCACTGTATACCTAGAATGCCATAAATACCTTTAAGAACTGTTGCAATTCCTTCCATTTCTGAAGCTACCGTGAAATATTTTACTGTCATTACTTTTGCCCCTTTAAAAAAACTTCTTTAGGTTGTGCCAATTGATGGAGAAAGCTTCTATTAAAAACTCCAATGGGATGAGAAGAATTTTAATTACGGCTTAATCAGCAGCACAGCCACCAAGCATATAAATTATCATGCACATCGTGCTAAAAATATCCAGTTTCCTTTATTCCCACAACTTTTATACTGACAGCACTTATGTGATAATGTTGTACCTGCCAGGCTGTAAAACTTCTTTGACTGGCAGATTTCAGCATGAGCCCCTTTCTAAGGCCTTAACAGCATTGGTGCTTTGTGTACTTATTCAAATATGTAAATATGGTCTACACAAGAAAACAGGTCCAAATAAAAATTGGTGAAAATTATCTGACATTCCATTAGTGTGTCCCTTGTGCATATTTATAGGTTTTTAAAATTTTCAGTCAGAGTTCTTTCCTGTTTGTGTTGCACATGCCTAATTCCGTTATGTAACTTAAATCTTCAAAAAATTAATACTTGAATGTGAATGAAAAAGTATCATTCAGAGCAACTGCTTCAAGCAATTGCAAACAGTTGGGTTTTTTTTTTTTGTTTTGTTTGTTTTGTTTCTTAAGTTCATTTGATATATGTACAATTCATTTTTTTCAAAACCCCAAAAGTTCTTGATATGTATATTCACATAATATTCCTCCATATTTAAATAGTAAGAGTCTTGTAGGTTGAAAGCCAAGTAATCTTCAGTAATATCACCTACTGTAATCCGTCAAAAAATAAAGTTTGTTTCGTCTTGTCTGGCTATACCCTGGTTGTTGAGTGTGAATGGGGGTGGGGATGAGGATGGGGCAGAGTATTGTTCTGTCCTCCGGTAAATGTATTGAATGTGTGTAGGGGTTGAATCCCTGGTATAGTGTTGGGGATCATTGTGATGGTGTTGGGTGTCATTAAGGGAATGTCATCAGGAGACCTTCTCATAGCTAGCGTGTAGTCTGGGGGACAGGCGGTCCTAAGAACCACCTCATGTGGATGGATGGACTCACATTCATGATCCAAGTCAGTGTGCTTCATTTGGAGGGACATTATCTCCTCTTCTTGTGCATGGGTAAGATCATTGGTAGTAGTACGTTGTGGGCTACATCTCCTATGAACATCATGTCTCCGCTTGTCTTTTTTGTAGTACAATGCTGCAAAGGCCAAAATGTTCAGGAACAGCAAAGATGCACCGACTGCAATAGTAACACTCAATTCTGTTGAATAGTCCCTTTGATCCACTGAAAACGGGCTTGGTTGTTGTTTGGGATCATCCTGTTTGGCTGTAGGAAAGGCTGAAGTCACAGAAACAGAATTTTTCCTCGTTGGTCTGAAAGTATTATCAGTTGATGGCACTTTAGTTGTGGTAGAGGTATACTGTGAAATGTCGTTAAGATTGTGCAGATGAGGTACCAGTTCCAACCAGAGGTTCACTTTATTGGCCCTGTAATGTTCTTTAACTCGTGGTTTTAATCCAATGTGAAGGTAGAGTTGGTCTTTCTGAGAATATCTGGTCCATGCTACTTCTTCAAAACGATTTGGTTTTGTATGGATGAATTTTGTATCTTGCGGCACTGGCTGATTTGGGTCACTAAAAAAAAAAAGAAAGAATCTCCAATGTGACAACGTATTTCAAAAGGAATTATAAAATTAACATAATTAAGATTTTATACGTAATGTTTAAGTCTGCCTTTGGACAGAGCAGGATGCTATTTCCTAAAATTGGAGGCCTTAATAATCTAGATTAGAAACAGCATTATGCAAACGAACCCTTCTTTCACATAGAGTTCAGCAACTTCCAAGTTCCCCAAAATGCGAGTGTCCCTCAGACTGGACTCTTGTGCTGCTGTGGACAGATCGCCAGCGATGTGGCAACGTGGACAGATGCCTGTGAGACCAGTGTGAGAGGATGTTAAGCTTTGCTTTTCTTTTTTAGTAACATGAAGCTCATAAAGCTCAGCAGTTCGGTTCATAAGCAGCATCTGTGGCCTTCCAGAGGTGAAAGACCACGGCAGGGCATAACTCAGTAGGACACAGAGTGACTTACAGTCCAACGGCCGAAGGTAAAACAGTGTTTTGAACTACCAGTGAAAGAAGAATTAATGAAAATGACAAAACTTTTCAAGTTTAACGTCACATATTTTATGGTCAGAAGTGTCAACTTTAAACAAAACACATTATTAAAATAAGCTGTATTCTATTTGATGCAGTATTTATGTAATTTTCTGTCTCATGGGACGAAAATATTGCCAGTGCTGGGGTAAAGTCAGTTACTAATGTAACCGTTTTTAACTATACGCATGTTAAATGCTTAGTTGTGCACTCTTCTGGGGATCCCTTAATTATTTTTGTGTGCAAAGTATTTTTTTTTTTAATTTCTTCACGCAGAATGTTTGCAAAGATATTTTTTCCATTTTTTTGCTAGAATGTGTGAGCTGAGGGGCATTACAATAAAATAAAAAATATCCAACCCAATTCTTAACCCCTTATTCATCCTACAGGTGCAGAGGCATTCCCAAGGGAGATAACCAAGGGAAAGCGCCACATCCTTATATCCTGAGTTTGTATAGAAGACTTTTCGTTATCTGGTACTCACCCAGTTTTTGCAAAGTTCGTCCAGTACGTCATCACCACTGCACTTAGCATGACATCATTTTTGGAGAAATTACAAGGAAATAATTCAGTAGGACCAATCATGGGGATTCCTAGTACGTAAGGAACCTCGTCTCCGTGCGCTGCATCTGCCCATGCAGGTACCTGATCTGTCTGGCAATGATGGTAGAAGGCATAGAAATACGTAGGCGATCCGAAATTTGAGTGAAGATCTGCTGTAGCCACGGCCGGTGCAACCCACTGGTGGTCAGTAAACAAAGCCAGCAGCGTTTTCCTCCTGGTCTCAGGATTGTGTCGATCCGCCCAGTCCGTGTACATAAATTTAATAGTTTCCCTCAATATATCTTTGCCTTCGGGGTATCCGTATAGGTTATCGACAAAATTAGAAACTGCAAAGTCAAAATCACTAGCTGATATGCCGTCTTCGCTGTCCACAATATTTTCAACAAATTTTAACCCTTCCCCTTGGTTAACTCCCAACATGATGTCGTAATTGAGGAATTCTCCTTGTTCCATCAATATCTGAGGATCGTCTGGTATCACATCGCCATCAATTACTGGTCCAAAGGCTATATGGTATCTTGCTGGTTGGATGTCCTGGTCGACAAGTTCTCTGTAAGGCTTCTTCTGTAGACATTCTACCAATTCTACAGTGTCTGACATGTTGCAACCAACTTTTGTAGCCAACATCCTGGCGTATTTTGCAGGCTGAAAACTAACTGCCCAGCTGGAGAGAGCTGTTCCGCTTTGAGCTATTGCTCTTTGAAATAGTCCTGTGGGGAGAAATATTTAAAAACTACTGAAGTGACCTTGAAACAGCTACATACTTGAAAGATTCAAAGGAGTTCTTTGAAACAATAGAAAACTTGAACAGAGGAGATACTTGAATCTTAATAGTACTTAAATACGCAAGATGGAGAGATCTGACTGTCATTGTACCTACGGGTAATGTATACAAAATAAATGCAGTATGTGCAGAACGTGAAGCAAATGATTCCACCTCAACGTAGTCCAGCTGAGGAAGGGATTTTCAAAAGAAACTCAGGAAGAAAAAGAAGTGGCATTACCTTAGGTAGCATAACTACAGTAGCTTGAAAGAAATTCCTGAAGTTAAAGCAATTTATAGGTTGGAGGGAAAGCCAACAAGTCTCTGAAATGGATTGGATTTCTGGATATTGTTCGAGCCATCAACAGCATGCGTGCATACAACTGTGTTAAATAAAACTAATATACTGCTTTTTTATGTTTTGGTTGGGATTAAACTTGGTTCGAGAGGGGCAGTGCTTTTGAATTGTATATCATAGCAAAAGTTTATATTCTGGAGTAATGGATAAGAAGGTACTAGGCAGCTATTAAATTTATAACTGCCTAAGAGTCAAGATTCTTTCCTGTAAAGAGTTTTTTTAATGCAGGTTTATAGGGATCACACTTACATAAAAAGGGAAATGATGTGTTTTACACTATTTAGCTTTGTACTTCAGAGATTTAAACGTATGTTCAGGTATTCATTTAGGGGAGAGAGCGAGTATGGCCTGGCGCTGCATATAAACTTGTAGCAAATCCCAAAGACTTCAGTGCAATTAATTTGAACTTATGCTGATTTAAGTAGCACTCTGGACCAGGAATCCTACTCATAGAAATAACAAAATTTGTTTAAACTGGCGTCTTCCTCTCCCTTCGTAAGCGTTTTTGAGCATATCATGGAAGAAAGCCTCACTCCCTTGTCGTCAATGAATCAATCCAATTTTTTGGCTGTGGACTTTAATGCAATCAAAACTGCACCCTTGTTCCGACACTTCTTGTGCTCCCTTTGCGTTGGGGTTTTGCCTTTTCCCGCTCCCTTTGGGGAGGGTAGTTCAGGTTCTGAAACAGATTTTGAGTCTGAACCTTGCGCAAAATAATGCTCGTCTCTAATGTCAGAAACTTAAACTATGTTTAGGTAACTGTGACCTTTCTGGATTTTTGCATTTTCATGGAAGTGTACCCAGTTCATTTCAGTAGCACATCTTTTGCACTAATTACAGGAAAATATTTTATACTGGACCCTAAGTCCCGTAGCTGACTGTAGGTAATACAAAAGGATCTGTAGCGTACATAAGTTATGCTGATTTAAGATATAGGGGTGAAAATTTAATTTTACTTATGCTGATAGGCAGCTGGAGAAATTCCACTGACTTTGGTCGAGTTGCTTAGGGACTGGAAGTGACATCTGGCCTCACGCAATTTTCCTAAGCATGTATCTTTGGTCCAATCCTTGATGAATAGCTGGATACTCCCACTAAGGGAACGGGAGCTAAGGTGCTCAGCTTACCTCAGAATTTTATTCCAACAATGCAAAAGATGGCTTTTACTTTGATAACCAACATATTTCGGTTGATAGAAAAATTCCATAGCCTCTAGATCAACTCTGAGATGAGCTTTTACAGCCGCTATTGCAGTACCAGACCCGGTACGCTCAGAAGTTAGTTGGAATCTGTTGCTGGCAGGAAACGTTTTACAAGCTTCTGAGGAATTTTAAAATCCTTCTAGACTGCATTAGGTCCAAATCCAAAAGTCTTAAAATCAGATAGGTGTAGGGACTAGGATATGTAGACTCAAGCCGCTCCTTAAATTTATGAGAAGTCATATCCAAGATATTATTTCCTTGCAAGATATGAGCAAAATATAAGAAAGAACTTGAGCTATAAAGCAGGTAAAATATATTTGCATGTTTACAAGGTCAGATATTGAGCTAGTATAAATCACCTCCAAGTCAGTGGAATTACCGCAGAGGATCCAGGCATTGTAATAAATGTAACTAAATGACAAAACTGCATTTTCACAAAGATGTATTTCATGATACTTCATAATGTTTCTTTTTTGCATATTGTGTAAATCTATTTTTATTGCTTTATTAAATATCTCTGAACAAGGACAGAAAGTGTAAGTTACATATTAAGAAAATGCTGATATAAACACTATGGCTTGCTAAGTGCTACATAAACATTAAATGTTGGATTAAGTAGAAGTGGTCAAGTCCTATGGCCATAAAGTTATCTTAGGAAATGGAATGAAGCATCCTTCCTTCTGCTGAAGAACGCTTACAGAAATATTCCTCCTCAGACCATTTAGTGAAAAACGAACACAGTATGAAAAATTATTTTCATTCAGTCAGATAATTCCTGGCAGAAATTGGTACCTCAGAGGGTGGAGAACTACATTTTTATCCAATAACGTGTATCATTATTATAGCTTATGGGCTTCAGACTGACAGAAAAAAAAGATTTAAATGTCAAATGGACCACACTGCTTTGTGACTCCTATCCAAAGCCTCACCAAAGTAAATAATAATAATATGCATAAATTCACCCCCATTGTCAGAGCACTTTCTGTAGATGGGTGCTGTTCTGCCCACTTGCAGATGGGCAGCTATGAGCCGCACCATCCTCAAATAGGCTGAATGCATGCCCTCAGCTACCAAGGGATGCTTTCAAAGGGAAATGAAGGAAGCAAAGAGAGCATCCAAATTTACAGCTTGTGAAAGAGACTGGTTAATAATGTGAAACAAAAGTTTTTTGAAAATGTTTGAAAACTTGAAACAACTTTCCCTATTTGAAGCTGACCAATTTTTATTTTAATACTTTTTTTTCAATGGCAGGTCTAACCATCCCCAAATGAAACATAACATACACGGGGTGTGGCACATTGTTGTGGTCAATCCAAGTTTCAGTAAAGCATGTTTTTGCTTTCTGATAAAAGAATTTCATCAAAAATTTACTATTACAATTGGATTTTAAGTATACGTCCGTAAGCTCTCTCCAGTCCCCTCCCTAATCCTTCGATCTGCTATGTTGGCAAATGACTGCATCAGTTTCCCCAAACAAATTCTGCTTCTGGCAGAATTCTGGCTGTGTGTTAGAATACAACAGGGTAAAATTTGCTGATAAGAGGCAACACGTGACTGTCCAGATATTGTAAACGTGGCATTTCGCATTAATGTCACGTTCCCTCAGGAAGATCAAGTAAGAGTTAGGGGAGGATAACCCAGGTCTCCTCATTCAACCTGAAGCTAAATCCTCTGGGACCAAAGTTATTTTTGTGAATTCTGATGAAAAAAGATGGTGCAGTGTGACCCCCAAATTACAGTGCAACGGGGTAACGCTTACATCTTGTTCGTATAGGCCGATTTATAAATACATCCTATCTAACTGCAGGTAGTTATGGGAAAAAAGATTACATTAAAAACGAAATCATGGAAATAGACTGACATTTCCACCACAATCTATTTTCCACTGGACTTCTTGTAAAGGCTATATTTTTCTCTCATTTAAAATAGTGTAAAGGCCTGATCTAAAGAATCTGTCACTTCGATGGACTTCAGTGGGCTCTGCATCATGACTTTGGGTAAATGCAGCTCTTTTAATGTCAGTGGAATTTTTTATTTTTTTTTATGACTGGCCAATTAGTCCCCATGGAGCTACAGCAATATAAATTAGCGGAGGATTGTATGCACAGGGCACTGTGTGATGTCCCTGGTAAGACTAAACAGTACAGATAAAAATGTGTGAAAACAGTGAGACAAAAGTAATGTGATCAATAAGCAATAGCCATGCAAATGAGAGAAACTGTGTGGAACCGTGGAGCAAAAATCATAGGAAAAAAATACTGGGTGCCTCGAACAGCATGTTTTTAATTTCCTGCTGTCTGCCTCAACCAGAGAGAAAAGGAGTTAGTTATGGAATAGGAAAAAACATATAGAAGAAAATCCATTTGCAACTTGGATGCTTTGACAATTTTGGATCATGCATGCAAAACATTCAACCATTCTTTTATTAGATGACAGCAAGTGAAGTTCATGCACTGTCAGACAAAAGATTTCTGAGCTAGGTACTTGCTTCCTTCACACAAAATAATAGTTTTAAGCATTTCAGCTGTTAGCCTGAAGAGAGAAACTGTGTCATTTTAGTTTTCTTTGAATTCTGCTCCTCATGAGAAACTAAACATGCTTTTCATGACTGTCTGAATATAGACAACCTCATCTACTGTGAGCATGACTGACTGGTTTTCCAAAAAGGACACCCTTAAGTAGGAAAGAAAAGAGAGAAAAATGATGCACCGAGGAAATGCTGTTCAGAAGTCTGCTATAAAGTGTTTCTACAGAGCTCCATAGGAAAAAGAAGAAAGTGACCCAAAATTTAAACATGCACAGAAGAGCTGAGGGAGAAGGCGGTTTGTACAGCCTTTAAAAAGTCTGCTTAATATTGAGCTGAACTCAACAGTTTGTAGGAACAAAGAGAATATACAGAGCATCACATAGTACTAATGGCGGTGGCATGCAGACACCAAAATTGTCAAAATTTGCAACCTGCATAATACCTTTGGTTGAATTGCTCCAACGGTTACCTTCAGAATAATGGGATAAAGTCAACAGATTGACGCATGAACCGCCTGCACCAGATCCAAAAACAGTTATTCTTAGTGGGTCACCACCAAAGAACCCAATATTTTCACTAGTCCATCGCAAAGCTTGAATTAGATCAAGGAGGCCATAGTTTCCTTTTGCTGCTTGGTCCCCAGTGCTCAAAAATCCTGTGAATGTAAAAAAACAAAAAACAAAAAAAAAAAGGAAAGGGTTAGCAAGTGCTCTTCTGAGTAATCCTGTTGCAATCTTCTAAGTAAGATTTCAAAAGTAGATGCCATTAAATATTATGCAACGACATAATTTTCCGTATTCACTGGACAACAATTTGCAATTTTGCACTCTTCCTGAAACAAGTGATTTGGTATTCACTCTTTTGGCCATGAATGTAGGGAAGATGAAGATACGTCCCAGGCAAAATACTCCTCTAAGTCTTAACCGGTTATAACGTATTACTCCCACAGACTCCGCGCTGGTTGTACTAAAGGCTTAGCAATCAGATACGCTGCAGTCATTTTGTAAGTGATTCGGTCAATTGTGCCTCGCGCTCTCTACTAGGATGCAGCCATGAGCTTTGCGGACGCCTGAGAGGCAACGGTTACTCTTCTCTGTAGGCTGTGCTTGGTTATACCCCAGCAAGACACTCTCTTTTCCTTTTTTTCCTCCCCCCAAGACCGCTTGTCACAGGACAAGCTGGGTTGAACAATGTGAGGAGCTCTCAACTCCCTGAGCTCCGTCCCATAGTCATTAACCTGAGCTAATTGAATCTACATTAAATGAATAAAGACAATTTAAGCTCTTTCCGCGACCCCTTAACATCAAAAAAGATAAGAGCCCAGGGGTAATCCAGAGAGCACAGGAATTGCTCCCTTGTATTCGTACGGGAAGAAAAACGGCGGAACGTGTCAGGTGCAGGACCGCCTGCTTTACACTTTACTCCCAGCAGTACCCTCGCATTTAGTATTGCTGTTACTCTTGTCATTAGAGCCTACTGACTCTAAAAGGTGGACAGTAAGAACTTGGATGGAAGAAAGTCTCTGTTGATAAGAGACATTGCTTTGCTTTTGCATCCCGTTTGTTGACATTTCCAGTTTCCTCAGCCTAATAAACAAATGTGTAAATAATACCAGCATTATGGAGTAGCCCAGCACCTCCATTTGCATATCAAACTGATTTAATGCTCAGTAAATCGACAGCGTAACTGCTTTTCAGTACATGCTTTGTAGAGAAATGCAACCATTACAACAATTATTTCCACATTAATTAGATATTAGCGGGTCTTCCAGTCTCGTCAAAGTTCTACCGATTTAACTCTCTTGAGTGCAGCCAGCCTACTCAAAAGAAGTTTACAGTAGTTTTTCACAGAAATGGCTCTCAAAGGAGTCCTGCTGTTCCATTACGACAATGATGAAAGCAGCTTTTGAGGCATTTCTAAGAAGACAGACACGTGGACGTATACATATATAAAGTCGGGATTTAACAAGACTGCAGATGGGTGCGTGCATGTACCTATAGTCACGCGTATAATGAACATGTCGTTTGTTACTTTATTATTATTCTGATTGGACTTCAAAGGGCAAGGTTGCATTTCCTATTCTGCCGTATGTGTCGACATTTAGACTAACAGACCTTCTTTGCTGTAAACTGCGCTGAAAGCTAATTGGCCTCGCTGCCTCCGTAGTTGAGCTATGCTCCGTTTGGGGCGAGCAGCTTTGTTTGTGTAGGTCAATCCTGATTTTTGTTACCATGGAGAGGGAACAGGAAAGCAGCATAAGGTGCCAGGCCAGCAATTCTCCCACTTCCAGACCTAATGTACCAAGTCTAATGGGCATGCTTCATTCACTGTAGCCATAGTAAATTGTTACTCTGATACCAGACTTTAAAATAACCACTATTGTACAGCTAAAACCTGCCGCATTTACTACTTAACTGCATAAAAAAGCAAAGTAGCATCACTACCATAGAAGAAAATACCACCTTGATGTTCAGGGAAGGCCCAGAAAGGAAGTCACAAATATAATTAGTTCATTCTCATTTTGCTATCACAGCTCGTTACTGAGTTGAGATGAAGATGATGTTACTTCACTCTGCTTCGCTCTCTTTCATTTCCTTCCACGTAGCCAGAGGGGCTGGTGTGCACGCCTACGGGAAAGGATGGCCCCAGGATAACCCTGCCCGCACAAAAGCATTCAGCCCTGTCTTCATGCTCCAGTAAAATGTTGTCCCCCATAAATAGTTTTTAAGGACACAGGGAAGATGATGTCTTTGAATCTATGACAGCAAATCTCACGAAAGCTTCCTAACCCAGCCTCTCTGCCTTTGTCAGCCTGCTTGGAGTTGAGAGATGATACCAGTGACTGTAACAAAATTAAAATGTAGGGATTTATGGGAAATACAGGATCCTGCGGCTGCACATGCTGGGAAAGTCTTCCCCTTTCTTTCTGTAAGTATATGACTGTAGAAAATCAGTGACAAATCAGTTCATCGTATTAAGCACATCACAGAGTGATTGCACTGATTTAAGGGATTAGAGGAACGATTGACACTGGCGGGCCTTGAAACACAGGCAGCAACGAGATGAGAGCAGTTAAAGCAATTACCAAAACTGTGCCCTAAACAAGCCCCGCTTTGCTTTTTCCCCTTTCCCTGGCCTGCAGATTCCCTGAGCCTGGACAGGATCTGCCCTGCTGCGTCGGTTCAGAAAGATCCTGTTGATTTCTCAAAGGGATTTTATTAGGAAAATAGATGGTAGGGTTATAGCTGAGATACAGTGATTGCCCTGAAGGAAAAGA